TGTGCCTCTGCTATTTTGGTGTTCTACTAGTTGTTATTCTTCTTTTGGTCGTTCGTAGCCTCTGTGTCGTTGTGCTGCTCCGCCTTGGTGGGGTCAGGGGGTGTCCCGGGCCGTCTCGGACTTGTCCGTGTGGCGGGGTTGGACCCCCACCCCTGTATTTTTTTTTGGGGGCGCCAGGCGCGCCATCTGGTTTTTGCCGTCGCGATGTGTGTTTTCTACATGTGCTGGTGGTGGTTGCGCTTTTGTTTGCGGCACCGGGCGTTGCGCTCTGGCTGTGGGCCTCTGCCTCCCATGGGGTGGGCTGGGCCGGCCCATGTGGGGAGGGTTTTGGACCAATACGCCCTTTGCGACGTGGGCTGCCTTCCCGCCGTTGCACCAAGGGGAATGCCATTCCTAAGAACGCATGTATCGAAAAGAAAAATAAAAAGAATTTGGTTTTTAAGGAGACCACCCACCCTAAACGTTTAGTAAGTTTAATTTCTTTGAATAAATTCACCTCAGCCCCCTTGGCAGTATATGAAGGCGGCCGCCCATTAAATTTGGCGCCATCGATCTCGTGGCGCAATAGAAGCGCATCAGACTTCGGATCTGAGGGTTGCAGGTTCGAGTCCTGCCGGGATCGTGTTTTTCCATGGTGAAGATGTGCTACCTTATCGTGTTTCCAAGGTTAAGTGCTTGAATTTGTTCAAGGAAACCAAATCCAATCACTAAATGTTTGAAGTGGGTGGTCTCCTTAAAAACCAAATTCTTTTTATTTTTCTTTTTAGTACATGCGTTCTTTGCGATGCTATACCCTTGGTGGCGTTTGGCCATCGAAAGTTGGAGTCAAGGACCATTACCTCGTATTCTTTCGGGGGAAGTCATGGGCCAGCAAATTCTTATCCTGAGAGTTTACGGGTTCATAGGCTACAAACGTCATACAGCACCGTCTCCAGCAGAGTCGTACTGGGACAAAACTTTATCCAAGAAGGTCCTGGGGCGCGTATCAGCGTATCATCAGCTGCAGTTTCTTTTATATATTGCCCTTTAGTGTGAATGCTGCTAAAAAAGGAGTGGCAGGGACCCTAGAGATAGTAACAACTATGTCCTCCAGTGGTGGAAATTAGACTTGGCCGCTGAGGGGACTCAGAGAGACGAAAAAAAAAATCCATGTTCCGCCATCTACGAGATTTATAGCAATCTTTTTACCAATGCGCACTTTAACTACGCAACGGTATTAAACGATACTAAACATACATATACTCTTGCCGATGGCTCGTTGTATTTTGATAAAACCCAGAAGAAGTGAATAAGAAAAAAAATATTAAGTTGAAAGCACCAATTCCACGCCATTGTGGCACCTATTCATCAAAATAAAAGAGTTTTAAGAGATTCTATAAAACAGAGCGTGCTCGTCACCACACCCCGCGCCTACTAGAGCGGGATGGGGGTAAGAAAATGCTGCCGAAAAAGCGGTGGTGAGAGAAGAAAGATCAAAGCAAATCAGAAACACAAGAAGACGCTTGCCTCAGGGCAACAGGGCAGGGGCATCCTGCGAATGCCGTTGGCCCGAAGGTGAAAGCCAAGAAAAACGACATCAGTAGAGGATTTTGTGTACCCCATGCCTGGGTTTATACTCTTCGGCGGCCTTGGCCCCACCTGGCACCTAGTAGTCCGAAGGGGGTTGGAGTCTGAAAACGCACGAAGCATTTATCCCAAGAAATGTGAAGAGATCCACCTGCCAAAACCGGAACTCCAGTGCCAGAGGGAGTTTGAAAAAAAAAGAAACGAACGCTGGGCATGCGAATAAGGTATGCTTTCCCATGACCTGTGTCCACCTTTCAGCTAGAACTGGAATGGGCCCAACTGCGCCCCAGGCGCATCCAAACCATTACGGGAAGAGAAATAAAAATAATGCGTGTGCAATCTGATTTTTGCGCCTTCCGGCGGACCGTACGCCCCGAGCCGTAATACACTCGTAAGCCCCCCACCTCCCCAGTTTTCCGCCCCCGGGAATCACGTTATTATTCTTATTTTTTTAACGATTTATTCTTTTGATAATTTTCATCGTTTCATAGATTTATTCTTTATCGGTTTTCTGGGAAATACCCCAAGGCCGTTGGGGGGCCACAAAGTGGCCAGGTATTTTTGGCAACGGGTTTGCCCCGCCCCCTCAATGGGCAGAAATCGTGATCACACGGCACTTTTTTTTTTGCCAGAAATCCATTTTTACTCTGCATACGAAGCTTCATCCTGGAGTGTTGGGGGTGCGCTGTTCTCCCCTTATCTCTCCTGCGGGGTCGCGGGGCTCTAAATCCAGTATTTGCGCGGAAAACCCAATCCCAATCCCGAAGCAGGGGCCCCCGGCCACTTGTTATATTTCTTTTTGGGTTCTTCTATCCCATTTCGTTAGCCCACAAGCCTAAAAGAAACCCGAAGCAGGGTATCGAGATTGAATAGAATCAATAGGCGTTTTCTCTTTCATTGCGTTCTGGCCTTATGCCGCTGCATGATTGGAGGCCGAATGGGGTTCACAAGAAAATATGGACAGCTGCATGCGAAACTGTAGGTCGGGTATTTTCATCCCCTCAAGACCGAACCTCATTCGATGATCATAGAGGGTGCGGTAGGTAAGAATACGTTCCAGTATTTCCTCGCATATACCGTGACGGAACCGCCTTGATGAAGCTGCCATTTTTGTACTCTTATCGTAAATTTTCCCAATGTGAACATTGGGGGTTACTTTCGAGGCAAAAATAGGGCGACAGTCGTTGAGGCCACGATGCCGCACAGGGTTTCCACGCAAACGGAGCAGGCAACTCTTCCTTCCCTAGTGTTGTGTTGTTGGAACCGCTTGTTTCTGGGCACGCGGTAAGGGAGCAGCGGGACAGGTTTATCTGGGTGTAGCGCCTTGGTGTGTGACTGCCCACATGACGCGATAGTCTTTTTCGCGGTATGGTTATTGGGTCCTTGTTGAGTCATCCGTAACGCCAAATGTGGGAGTTTTCTTTATTTGCAGCATCTGGTAATGTCGGCATTTGCCCATCGAGTTGGCACTTGGTTGTGTGTTTCTGTATTGGGAGTACCTATAGCGATGGAGGAGGGAAGTACGGCGGCGATGCTCGTGAAAGTGTTTTTTGGACGTTATCTGATTCCATTGTAGTGGGGTCCGGAAGGTGCGTGATCGTTATCTGCTTGCCAAACTCCCCTCGATCATCTGTGCGGAAGCGACATTGATGACAGAATGGTTTCGCAGCCTTCTGGGGGGATTGCTGAGACCTGTTTAGCCATTTGCACGGATTGTGCCGCGGTTACGGGTGGTGGTGCATCCGCATATGGCTTCTAGCGTTTGCCATTTGTTTGTGTGCCAAATAGCCAGTGGGGCAGAGTAATGGTCGGTCTGATCTGATGGCGAGGGGTGCGACAATGTGCGGTTGGGAGTTTGTCGTTTGAGAGTGGTGCTCTGTGATGGTGTCGGATTTATGCTTGGAGGGGGGGGGTGTGGTTGTGCTGTCTACACCAGCGGCATGATGGGTCAGTGTCTTTCGTGACGATTCTGTGGACCCAGCCAACGTGCCTAGAGGCGTTTGTGCAGAACTTGGTTGGGGTATGCTTTCTCCCACCCCGGGTGTTGGAGTTGCGAGGTGTGTTTTTAGTTTATTTACTCGCCGTTGTCTCTCTGTTTTTTTCCAATGTGGGGTTCTCAGCATTCTGTTGTTGGACGCGGTATCGATGAATTGTCGTAAGAACGTCCGTAGTCTATGCTAGGACGTTTTGGGGAAAGGTGGGGTGCCATGACTTCTTTCGCAGATTTGTCCGCAAGTTCGTTTTGAGGAACTCTGGTGTGTCCAAATATGAAGTGAAGGGATGGGCGAACCTTCCGTGGTTGTGGGAGGATGGTTGCGTCTCATAATCTGCGGAGGACTCCACCCTCGCTCTAGTGGACCCAGTTTCAATGGCAGGTGGGAGTGGCAGTGGGTCAGTAAGCACTGCTACTACCAGACGCCTACGATCCGTAGAAAAGTAGGAGAGCGGTGTCGTTTGGGGCCGCTCCCTATAGGCCAAACATTCTGCACGATGGCTGCACGCCAGAGCGCTCCCGACACTTCTAACGGAGTGTATTGGTTCTTGCTTCTTTAAAAGCAGTGGTGGGCAACCAGTCCCTGAGTTTTGTTGGGCTGAGCCTTCTGCTCATGGGGTGTATGAGATGTGAGCTTTGGATTGGGCTCTGGCAAGAGAAGCCGGTTTCTTGTCTTCATACTCGGCATCCGCCTTGAGCCCTCCTGGTGGGGTGGGGGAGGTGTTGAAAAAGACTCTCTTGAGATAAGGTAGTGAAGAAGCTGTGTGGGGAATATCGTACCCATCAATGCATTTGTATTTATCACTTACGAGACGGAGGGCATTGCGTATTGTGTGTGAGTCTGGGAAGATCGCTCTTGCACGCAGAGCCACATACAGCCCCTCTGCTGCACAATTTTAGCTGGTACTCCACGCTTCTCATGAGAACAATCCCTGAGAGAGATGGGCCGTGTTTCCTCTAACGCATCCGCTCGCGAGGCGCCAATGGGAAATGCTAGCAGTGACGTTTGCTGCATGTGTATTGGACCTTTCTTTGTTTTGGTATGTGGTCGGCGTCGTCTCATTCCGCTATGATAATGCTGCATTAAGAGGCCTTGATTGCACGATAACGTTTTTGCAAAGGCCATGGCGCCATGCATTTCCCCAGCCCCCACTCCAAGCTGCCGGGGGTACCGCATTAATTTTTTGTGATTCTGGTTCTGGTTCTTTTATTATTATTATTTTTTTTTTTTTGAATCGAAGAGGATATTATCCATGCCGTTCTTCACCCCAAGTGGGGATTACGCCGCTACCCAAAGTAATCGTGTCAGACGTTCTTCTTTGGTGTTGTTTCCCTTTTGTATGGGGTTTGAAGCCGCCAGTGAAGGTGGGGCCAAACGGAGTATACTTTCTCTTTAATCTCTTGATTTCCATAGCGTTCTTTCTTACCCAAGACGGTTTAAGAACAAGCACTCTTAATCTGCCTTTTCTTTTCACAATAGTAGCTGGGGTAAGAGAGTTTTATCTTTCACGCCGTACTCAAGTTTGCGTTGCTAATTTAAATTAGCACTATAAAAATAAAGTTAAACATTGCGCATAAAGTCATCGGATAAAAAATCAGCATATCCATTCAAGGCGATTATTTTACTTTTGCACTTTCGCAATAGCGTACGGAAATGCCATTCAGTGAATCTCTCCCTTAGTTCAGCCTGGGCATCCGAATCCTATAGAGGAAAAACGTGGGAAAGGAGGATATGGTTCTGTTCATTATATCTGGAATCTGAATGCGAGTGGCGCTGATGGGCCCCTCCCCACACACACTCGCTAGCCAAACTCTATCCCCAATTCAGAAAAAGTGAAAACTTTTACTCACGTGATAACCCATTCGCAGAGTTGTCATGTAATCACTCCGGACGCGTTAGCAATACTAAGGGGAATACCCGCGGCAACCCACTATGGCCAGAAAGAAGGAATTAAAAGTTATTTTTTAAGCGGCGCCTTGCGATAGGACGTTCTTTATTTCGATGGGCAATACGTTGGGGAACGCAGCCATTGAATGTCAAAAAGATAATATGAACATCCCGACCTTCCACTTGCACGATTGTAGGCGCTCTGGAATTTTCAACAACTTCCGGTCATCTTTTACTCCCCCACGAATCTGGAAAAAGCAAAGCGTACCATCTGTGAAGAGGCACGCCCGCAATAAACCTGTCTGCTAAGTCCCCGAGGGTTTCGGCGGAGCCTAACTCGTTTTTAAGCATTCTAGAGAATAAAGCAATTTTGGCACCGGCTCTCAAAGGGAAAAGTTTCGCTTGTAAATGGGTGGGTTTTTTTTTCCCCTTTTCAAAGTGGGGAAGGCCCGCTGCACCCTCTTATAGAAAAAAGAAATGTGTCGTCAGATGCACTTCTAAAACGAAAGCGGCAGGGAAAAAAAACAGATGTTTTCACTTTTATTTTAATCACTCTCTAAAACAAAAGATAAAGGCGCAGGACGAAAAACAAGAACATACTTTTTACTTAACCCCACGAAATTTAAGAGATGAAGAACAGAAACCGTTTAGCAAGAAGGAAAAAAAAAATTATACTTGGCAAACCCTTGAAATCCAGTAGCCCATTATCGCCTTGCAACTCTTGCTGCGTGGGAGTATCATCTTCTCTCATCTCAACATTTCTTCGTGTTTTCTTGGGAATTGCACGTTTCAAATCCAGACTTCTAGAAAGAAATAGGGCTGCGGTGCTCTCCACTGTAACACCGCTGCCTCCGAAACGTGGCAGTAGCTGATGTCACAAAATGTATAATTTCAGCATAAACCTTACAAACTTTTGCTGAAAACTGTAACACCCAACACGCTGCTATCTGCATTGCTGGGTCGGGTAGGAAAAAAATAAAAATAAATTGCCGCACTCATATAGGCAAACTTTGCTAGGCCAAAGAAATGGAACAATCCCAAAATGAGTCAACACTTTCTAAGATTATCAAATAGATAAAGGAAATGATAAAATGATGCCTTCAAAGGTGGATCGGCTTCATTTGGAATCATCCTCATTTTTATTTTTGGGACCGAGTAACCCGTTATCAACGTTTAAAGGAAAAGTTTTTACTCTATGATCGAGCATGGGACGACTGCAAAGGAGGCTTCAAGAAAAGCAGCCGACGCAATCAAAACCTCTACTCCAAGGAGATCTTTCTCGGCCTCTGGAATGATGTAAAATTCTCACACGCTGACTTTCCAATGATTTCAACCCAATAATGGTCTAAATTTTGCTGAACTGGCGGGCGGCATCGGGACAACAAGACGATTTTAAAGCCATTGGATGCCCCACAAGGGAACTTGTTCTTTCCCAAGAGCCGGTGTAGTAATCATTCATGGGTTCCAGAACTTGTGGTGGAAGTCAACGCCTGGAACAAACGAATTTCATCAAGGAGGTTTTTAAGACGCATACTTATGGCAAAAATGGCATGGCCAACATGGGAAAAAGCAAAACGGACTCCTCTGCCTACAGGGTTGCGTGCCAAATTTGCAGCTCTCTTGATAGAGTTCCTTGGCACCTTGTAATCTGGCAAAATGCGTTTTTTCTCATTGGTCTCGAAGGTCTACAGGAGCCCCGTCTTCCGCAGCAAAGGCGCCAAATGCTTGACATGGTAAGAATCTTTCCCAGAAATTTGCAAAAAAGAAAAAAAGAAAACGATAAACCAGATGAGAAACCGGTTTCGCAGTATCCAACAGCAGCTGCCAATGCAGGATCAAAACCTCTGCTTTTTTGTAAGCGAAATTAACCACGTGTTAAGTACGGAAATTTTGTACCAGCGACCCAGAGTGATCCATAAGGTAGAAAAAATATTTCTTTTTTTTTTTCCAATCCTTTGGCAAACAGATTATCCTATCCATTATTTCCCTGGATGGGGGTTGTGGCTGTTTTGCGGCCCTACCGCGTTGCAAGTTTCTTAAGGTAAACAGGGAATATATTCATTAAGCTCCTGTTCATCCTTAACATCATTCTCCATAACATATGGGTGCGCCAATAGTTTATCACCAGAGGGATTTCTTTTGCGGTGGCGAACGGTGCCCCACTCCCTTCCTCTGTCGGTAATTTATGGCGCTGGCAAAACATCGCATTTTTTTTCCAGAGGCGGCAACCTTTTTCGCCAGATTGAATGGGTCTCATTTCTCCTTTACAATCTTCTTTATTCGCCACGTGTGGTTTTCCAAAAAAGGAAAATTTAAATATTAAATATCTCAAAAGGGAACGTTCTGGGAAGACAACGTTATAATCAGGATCTGCTGTTTGCTGGATGTCGTGCGTGGGGTGAAATTCAGCCGTGTCTCCGGAGGGTGCGCGGGGCCGAGAAGAACGACTTAGTACAAAGAAACTTCCCCATAACGCATTCAGAAGGAAGAATCGATCATAGGAAGGCCTTTCGAAAAAAAAAAAAAAAAAAAAAAAAAAAA